CCCAAAGCCCCTTCGTGGGCATGAGTGCCACTGCACACAGAACACGGCCGAGCACAGCTCCCAGCCCCTGCACGGGGAGCCAGGTAAGGCTGCGCGGCACACAGACACTTCAGTGACCAGAGGCTTATCACGCTGCTCTCGAGCCCACGCCTGTTCCAACTGCATGTCCAGCTGGGCCATTCAAATTGAAGCCCAGGCCCCAGAAGCTTCTGGGACGGACTGCTTATACGACAGGGGCTGGGGAGAGCCGGAGCTGGACAGGGGTGTAGCGGCAAACAGCATAGTAAGCTTTTCAATGCAAGGCAAAAAATACTGACAAAGCCATCAAGGTGCTGGGTAACGACGTCATGACGATGCTGGTGTGAACGGCTCTTCCAGAACAGGGACAGGGAAGACTGAGCCCGAGGACTGTAGAGGCCCCCTCAAATCATCAACACCAGCTAGCACACACACCCCACCTCAAACAAGCAGTCCCAGCCATGACATTAGGGGCGAGTGAATTACATATGCTTCATCAAACCCAGTAGGCTGATGTTTAAGTGGATCATTTTGTATAATCCTCCAGCGATGGTGTAACTCTCTGAATGGCCCTTGGCAGTAAAAATGCTCCCCACCCCTGTCCTGGAAGCTCCCAGCAGGACTGGAGTGAACACGTTAGCAAATGGTGCTCTCTCCTCTAAGGAGATGCCCTGGTGGCACCGTGGGTCAGGTGCTGGGCTGCTAACTGCAAGGTCAGTGGTTCAAACCCACCAGCAGCTCCTCAGGAGAAAAATGAGGCTGTCTGCTCCAGGAAACCCTATGTCAGTTCGCGGTGAGTCGGAACAACAGACCCTAGGTTAGAGGGTGGGCAGGGCAGGGCCCCCTTCCCAGAGCACATACCTCTGACGCTGAAGTAGGAAGATTCAGAGGTCTTAAAATTGACGAGGCAAGGGCTAGAGCTGAAGGGAGGATTGCTAATCGAGGCTAGTCATGCAGTCTCGCTTAGGGGAACTGTAGGCATGGTCTGTGACTTCAGGTGGCCAGTCCTTGCTTACACCTTACCCACAGGGAGGCTTAGTTGGCATACCTGCAGGGGGCAGTGCTCAAGCTTAGATCAACCCTGGCTCTCCACTGACAATGCAGAAAGGGGCTCAGTACTCCTGCAGGGGGTTGTGGCCACGCTCACCTCGTCCCTGGAATCCCAGAGAGCAACAGTGATCACAGGAAGATGCTTAGAACCCTAGCAGTGGGTATCACTCAGTCCACACGCTTCCCTTGAGCCCCTACCCTCAGGATGGACAACTGGCCTTAGCCGGAGGCAGAGCCATCAGGGGAGTCCACATCAGATGGACTAATGAACCTATCAGGATGACGACACTGGGTTCTGTGCCAGGGAGCCCCCCAGATGGTTCCTGCATCACTAATGGGACTGCAAGTCAGTAATGCCACTGCTACGTGGTTTATAAAATACCCCTACAATCATCTGTCCCAAGTGGCTCAGAGCGACTTCATGCGTGCCTCGGGGTGTACCACTG